GTGAAAAACTGGCCTTCTGCTCTAGAACAATCCAGAAGGCTAGATTTGAAAGGAATGACTGAGCATTTCCCAGGCCTGTCAATGATTGATTGTGGCCAACAGCCACCACACAATAAGATCAAAGTCTATGGAGCTTGTCAGTCATCCATGTCCTGGTTGTCCAAAAAGGGCTTTTCCAGAGGCAATTGAACTTTATGGTTTTCATTTGAAGACATTTTGTTTCTCATCTTAGAAGCTTCTTCAGCTCTCCCATTCCCCACCATCCAGTCAGAGCTGAAGAAGCTTCTTGGAGGAGAAGCGAAACGTCTTTGAAGACAAACCAGAAAGTCCAGTTGCCTCTTGAAAAAAGCATCTTTGGGATTCCAAGTGGCCTCAACAACTCTCTAAAAGGATGCAAATGACCAGCTGTCCGCAAGGAGTATAAATCCTTCCGTTCCCCACCATCCAGTCAGAGCTGAAGAAGCTTCTTGGAGGAGAAGTGAAACATCTTAAAAGAAAAAAAAACAGACAGTCCAGTTGCCTCTTGAAAAAGCACCTTTGGGACAATAAGATCAAAGGTTCAATTACCATTTTTTAGTTGGGGAAAATTGTTTGACAAGGTCCCTCTTTGATCATTTTTTTTAAAACGACTTTGTTAAAAATGAAACTTCCATCAAGGTCCTTCAACTTAAATGTCCGTGGATGATCTCAGAAGCCAAGCTGGGTCAGCCTTGGATAGTACTTAGATAAGAGACCACAAGGAGATCCCAGGACTGGAACCTAAACTGGGAATGCAAAAAACAAAACAAAAACCCCCCATGCTAGAAGATAACCATCTGTTTTGGTGATGCTATATAGATACAGGCCTCACCACATCAATTCCGTGATTTATTTTTCTGTTTGACTGCCTTTAATATGTTGCATTTTATAACCAATATAAGAAAATATAAGAAAAGGAGGCTTTCTGTTCTGACTCAGGATTCGTCAAACGTAATTAAACACAAACTTGCTGTAAAAGCAAAACCTATTTTAATGCAATGCTGGGTATTATTTTAATTCACAGCCAAAACTAATCTTAAACAGTTCCCCAAGATAAGCACACAACTTTCAGTGCTGTGGAATGCTGCCAAAAACAAAAGTATTCAAATTAATTATAACAGTACCAGAAAAAAATGACCAGAATACACAAAGCTTCAAGAAGGATTCGGAATCTATTGAACTGCTTTGCTTCCTGCAAAGCTTTCGTCATTGAGGTCTGACTTTTATCCCTTATGGGAGGGGTACCTTACTCCCGAGTCTCCTCTTCTGCTTCAGCTGCTCTCACCTTCTAGCAGCTCTGCGCACACGCGCACTGGGAACAGTCTCCCCTGAGTCCTCTGCCTTGCTTCTGCCAGACTCCAAAGGCTCCGAAGGCAGCATGCCATTCCCAAATTGTCCCAGCCCCATCTCTGCATCAGATACAGAACTCTCATCCAAGTCCTCTACAGACTCCTAGACTGGTTCCCTTTCTTCCTCACTGTCCGATACTGCTGCCAGCTGCACCGGCTGCTGATGAACCACAACAGCTTTCCTTGAGACTCCAGGAAGGCGAAAACAGCCTCTCCGGGCTCCAGAGCAGAGGTGGTATTCAGCAGGTTCTGACCAGTTCTGGAGAACCAGTAGCAGAAATTTTGAGTAGTTCGGAGAGCCAGCAAATACCACCTCTGACTGGCCCCGGCCCCATCTATTCTCTGCCTCCCGAGTCTCAGCTGATCGGCTGGGTCTTCTTTTGTTGCCCTGCCCAGGAGAACGGAGCTGGAAAGCAGGCTAGTGGGGTGGGGAGGGAATGGGAATTTTGCAGTAACCTCCCCTTGCCACACCCGCCAAGCCATGCCCACCAAGTTATGTCCACAGAACTGGTAGTAAAAAAAAATTGAATCCTACCACTGCTCTGGAGGTTCTCTGGAAGCAGAAATGGGCCCATTTCCAGCCTTCCCGAACTTCTGGGAGGCCCGTTTTTTACCCTCCCCAGGCAATCAAATAACCCCAGAATCCTACAACCATCATAAGTACATGCCAGTTGCCAAGCCTCCAAATTTTGATCACATGGCCACAGGGATGCTGGGCAAGGCTAATCTAATGACAAGAAGGACCAGGGGAGACATGATAGGAATGTTCCAATATTTGAGGGGCTACCACAGAGTGGAGGGAGTAAAACTATTCTCCAAGGCACCTGAAGGCCAGACAAGGAATAATGGATGGAAACTGATCAAGGAGAGATTCAACCTGGAAATAAGGAGAAATATGTAGAACAATCAATCAATGGAACGGAAGATGTCTTCAGAAGTTGTGGGAGCTTCATCCCTGGAAGCTTTGAAGAAGAGACCGGACGGCCATCTGTCAGAAATGGTGTGGTCTCCTGCTTGGGCAGGGGGTTGGACTAGATGACCTACAAGGTCCCTTCCAACTCTGTTAATCTGTAAAGTTATAAGCGCAAGGACCAACTCTTTGTGTGAGGACCGGATTTTTTTTTCATCTCTGTCATAACTTTGAGCAGTTGCTAAACAAATGGTCCTAAATTAAAGACTCCCTATATAAACTGCCCAATCAGCCCTTATTGCGAAGGTGCGACATCGCACTCATGCCCAACATCGCTGGCTGCATTCTCCCCCACCCAGTCATTCCTTAAGGTATTTTCTTTCTTTTTTTCCCCTCCTAATGATCAGCTGTGCCAGCAATAGCAATAGCACTTAGACTTATACACCACTTTATAGTGCTTTACAGCCCTCTCTAAGCGGTTTACAGAATCAGCCTCTTGCTCCCCAACAATCTGGGTCCTCATTTTACCCACCTCGGAAGGATGGAAGGCTGAGTCAACCTTGAGCCTGGTGGGATTTGAACTGCCAAATTGTAGGCAGCTGGCTGCAGAAGTAGCTTGCAGTGCTGCGCTCTAACCACTGATCCATAGAGGATCCTCTTCCTCCAGAGGGATCCCCCTTGCTGTCTTACTGCTTCTCCCAAGAGGCTTCCCTGAGGCCCAGGAAGGCAAAATGGGGTACGCGGGGTTGGTGGTGGTGCTGCGGGGGGCGGGCGCTCCATCTTTTGTCTTCAAAAACACAGCAAAAACACCCCCTAGGAGGCTTCCCTGAGGCCCAGGAGGCCAATAAATGGAGCGCGGGGGGGGGGGTTGCTGCAAAAAAAGAAGTAGAAGCCACGCCCATCCCGTCACATGGCCACACCCACCTAGCCACACCTACCTAGCCACACTCACAGAACCGGTTGTTAAAAAATTTGAATCCCACCCCTGGGAGTGTCCCAAGTGAAACACACAAGAGGTTGAAAAGCGATGATGTTTATGCCATTCTTTACCAAGCGCATCTCAATTCTATTCAAGTATAACCCAAAATATCTCTACCATCCTCAAGGCAGGACACAACTTTTGAGCACCCCTATACCAATGTTTGGAAATTGAAAGTTGACAAATTTAACCTGGGAGTCACCTGATCCGCTTTAGCGACCTTCTGATGAGCAAAGTCAACAGGGAAGCCAGATTCACTTCACTGTGTCACTAAGTGAACAGCTGATTCACTTAACAACGGGGGCAAGAAAAGTGGTAAAGCAGGACATTAACACGATTGAGCAGGTCCAAAGGTATTTCTCTACTCACAATAGAATTCCTTAGGCCTCCAGGTTTGAAATTTTGGGCTTGGACAATCTGGAAACTGCGCTGCCTGCGCTCCGATCTAAGCATAGTACATAAAATTGTCTGCTATAACATCTTGCCTGTCAACGACTTCTTCAGCTTCAACCACAACAATACACGGGCAAACAACCACTACAAACTCGATTGCAGAAAATACGACTTCAGCAACAGAGTAGTCAATGCCTTGGAATCGGGTGGGATTCTACTGGTTCAGACTGGTTCTATAGATCCGGTTGTTATGATTCTGCGCAGTTCGTAGAGCCGGCAAATCGTGCCTCTGGCTGGCCCCACCCATCTCCACCTGCCCTCCCCTTCCCGCCCAGTCAGTCCTTATCGCACATGTGCAATGTTGCGCACATGCCTGACATCACTGACTGCGTTCCTTCCTGCCGAGTCACTCCTCAAATTATTTATTTTTTCCCCTCCCGATGATCAGCTGTTCCTATGATCAGCTGGGCTGGGATTCTCCTTGCTTACTTACTGCTTCTCCCAGGAGGCTCCCTGAGGCCCAGGAAGGCAAAAAATGGATGGGGGTGCTGCCAAAAAGAAGAAGAAGCCATGCCCATCCAGTCACATGGCCATGCCCACCTAGCCACACCCACAGAACTGGTTGTTACAAAATTTGAATCCCACCCCTGCCAGAAACGCCCTACCCAACTCCGTTGTTACAGCCTCAACCCCTCACAGCTTCAACCTCAAACTGCCTACCATGGACCTCACCCCATTCCTAAGAGGTCCTTAAAGGGGGCGTGCATAAGTGCACCAGCATGCCTACTGACTCCGTCTTACTGTCCCCGTTTATCTGTATTTACTTCCTTTGTTCTGTTTATGTTTATACCTATACTTGTTAACTTGTACATGTCAGGGTTCCGGCAGTTATGCCAATTAAATAACGAGTCTCGAGCCAAACTTCTAAAACTTGACAAACAAACGAACAGATAAATAAATAAACTCACTTAATAAATGTTTGGCCCTCCGTTGGGTTAATTGCTGATTATCGATTAAATTGCAAAGGAACATTTTACATTGTGTTCTAGATTGTCGCATTTTTAATGCAAGCATAATGTTTAGGACATTGCCATTAAATGCCCCGGATGTACTTCGGGCTCCATCTTTCAGGATCCAAAATTTTTCCTACTGGGTGACCAGGAAAGGGGTAATGGCGTCATCTATCCTGCAAGATCTGTTGCAACCAGTTTTCATCGGAAAGAGCCAAATGATTGGAAGTCACCGCCAGAGAAGGAGTGGCTTGGCAAAATGCAAAAAAAAAAAAAAAAGCTTATTTCTAAGCCATAAAATAAATAGAAGGGAGAGGGGGGGAAAAAGAGAGAGTGAGAGAATGGGGAGGGAAAGGAGGTGAAGCAAAGGAAGAAGACTGCCCCTTTCCAATAATTTTTTTAAAAAAGAAGATTTGCAGCGAAGAGGACGTATATCCGAGATGCTGATCGAAGGATTCCTGCTTTTCGCCCTCTTGGTCTTCGCTTTCCAATTTCTACAGTTGCAAAGGGCAAAGGGTCGTTTTCCCCCTGGCCCGTTTCCTCTTCCCATCTTTGGCAATTTATGGCTGCTGAATTTTGCTCTGAAACGAGAGACGTTGGTGAAGGTAATTTGGAATCCCCCCCCCATCAAATTTATTTATTTTTGCAGGATGGGAGAGAGAGGGGTAGAGGGGGAGACAAGGAGAGGACGGAGAAAGAGGTTACGTTAGCAATGTGCAAACACCCATCCCCGATGCTACGTTAAAGACGATTGTAAAAAGGATGCAGGAACCCCCTCCGATGGGGCTAAATTGATTTTAGCCTTTTCATGTTCTGTTTTGGAAAAAAAAAATCAACCAAGTTATGAGAATAAGAGGAGAGCCTCGGTTGTTTGGAACAAAACAGCAAAGTTGGTGGACTTCAGAGTGGGAAAAGCAAACACTGGAACGGCCTCCCAAATACTTTGCCAATT